AAATGTTGATTTTTATTTTTTTATATAAATTTATAATAAGAATATATATTTAATATACTCTTAACATATACTTTTGGAATATAAGTTAAACAAACTCTAATATTTGTAACCTTTTTTCCTTAGCAATTTCTTTTATTAATCAAAATATAATAGGTATTCAAACTTGTATAATATTACATAAAAACAACAATCCTACACTTTTTAACTATAGTTAGGACAACAAAAAAGTATTGTTAAGGACACCCAAATTATGGTAATCGTATTTGGTTTAATTAATATTTTATATCATTATAATTTTTTTCTTAAATGACTAATAATAATATCTAAAAACCTCAACTTATAAACTATAATTTTAATTTATTAAATAATAAATATAACCTATTCTTAACAATCAAATTATACAAAATCAATATTTTTTTAAAATAATTTATGTACCTTTGATAAAATTTTATGTTACCATAACCGTATTCACACTTCCTGATCATTTACATTTATCTTACAGCTACCCCCCAAATTTTTGTTAGCCAATTACATTTTCCACATCGTATCTGTAGCGCGTGCTTTTAATTCCCATTTTTTTTTTTTTTTTTTGGTGTGTTTGTTTGTCTAACTCTTTATTGAGTGATAACTTACCCTGGTTTTAATGTATTAGCATTTGATATAGGTGTTTTTTTTTTAAGATTGTTTTTTTTAGTGTACTTTAGACATTAAAATTATTAAAATATCATTAATAAATAAATATGAAGGTATTTAAATTGTATAGAAGTACAATTTGTGCTAAAAAAATATATTTTTATTTGTATTCATATGAAAAATAATAACAATCTTAAAAATTAAATTCATTAATAAATAAATATTATTTTATAAATTAAATTATGATATAAATTTAGAGTTGATATTTAAAAAAATTAATTTTTTAATATATTAAATTAATATAAAACAAATGATTTTTAAATTATTTTTAAAAAATTAATTTTAAAATACATAAAAATTAATCCACCAATACTATCATAGTCCAAAGGTAAAACCATATGTTATGCTCCTGAACTAACCCCAGAATCGCTATTAAGCCTCTAGACTTTAATTGATGCAGTTAAGCCTTTGAACTCTGGGATCAAAGCAATTAAACCCTTCTTTTTATGCTATTAAGCCCTTAGACTTTAATTTTTAAAATAAATTGCTTAAGAAGAAGGGCTTAATTGCTTTGATCCCAAAGTTTAAGGGCTTAACTGCATCAATTAAAATCTAGGGGTTTAATAGCAATTTTGAGGTTAGTTCAGGGGCTTAACTTATGGTTTTGCCTAATCCAAATCAATAAAAATAAAAATAATAATAGCAACAAGAAGCGACAAATCAAGACAAAATGAATTCCAAAAGGTAATGATATTCAACTTTTTGAAGTTTTCCTTAAATAAGAGTTTTTATTTATTTTTTAGTCCGTGTGAAGATGAAATTTGGCTGACACTGGATGACATCAAGAATATTTTTAATTTTTTTTAAGAAATAAGCGTGGGTTAGGATTCCTATTCTTCTTCATTTTCTTCTTTTCCCCATAAATAGTGGTCGTTAGGATTTCAATTTTTGGACTAAAAATATTAATAGAGATGGCACTCAACCGTAAATATGACAACGAAATAATAATATAATAATATATAATAAAAGTGGATCGATGTTGTGAATGACTTAAATAATTTAGTAATTATTTTTTTTTAAGTAAGAGATCTTGATTTTAAATTATATAACATACGAATAGAGTGAAATAAAAAATAAAAAATAAAAAATAATTGTTACTCGTTGAGTAATCAAAATAAAATAAAATATAAAAAAGGTGGGCTGGTGTTTGTCATGGTCACGTGCAACGCCAAAGATTCAGGGAAGTCCAATGGTGTTCTAGGCACAAAAAAAATTAGTTTTTGGAACCATAATTAATGGTCTTTTAAACTAAAGATTACATTATTAACAACAGATCTATGAGAAGGAGGAGGAATTGCAGCTTGGAGAAAAAGAAATATTGTTTGTAACTTGGGGGTTTCTTAAAAGGCAAAACCTTCAAAATAGAAACGCAGAGGTAGATTAGCTATTTAAAAAAAATATAAGGATAAATTATTTTTTAAATTATTGATAAAAATAAATCATTCATTATTTAATGTATGATATCATCATAAATCAGTTTTTTTTTTTGTTAAAAAATTTTTAAGTGACCAATAACTTTTTGATTGTGTGATGATATTAGATATTAAATAATAAGTGATTTATTTTAATTAATAATTTTAAAAAAAAATTATTATTACTTTTTTTAAGAAACAAATCTATCATTATCCTTCTATTTGAAGAGCAGATTTAAGGGTTTTGTCATTTTCAAAAAAACCAATAATAGCTTAGCTCATAATTTAGCAAAGCGTGAATTTTAGATCTAACCCCACAATTGACCTTCCAATTCACAAGCATTGGACAAATCTTCACGCAAGAATAACAAACACACCTCGTTAAAATTGTCCAAATCTACATTCCCAACGTGGTCTATATCGCTGCTCGCTACTTAAGTTGATATTAACAAATAATTAAGTTGTATTAAACCCCACTGAATTATACTTATCTTCAATATGATATGAGCACATATCATCTTGATACTTAAATAAAGGCAACTACTAGTGGATGTATTAGATTTTTTAAAAAGTATTATTTAGTTCGAATTGTGTTAAATAACATAGTTTAAATTATTAAATGATAATAAATCTTTTAATTATTAGAATTTATCTCTTTATCTAATCATTCTTAATATATTGTTTAATATAATTTAAATTATAATACAGAAAACGACTCTTATGAGCTTTCACACAAGAAAAGAAAGCTTTCAACAAGATGGAGAAACACCAACGATTTAAATAATTTAATGATTATCTTCTTCCATTGGTAGTAAGAGATTCTGAATTCAAGTCACATGACATGCAGGTGAGATGGGATAAGAGATAAGAGATGGTTACCTATCATTATGCAACCAAAAAAAAAAACCAACAACAACGAGAAGAAGATGGACAAACCTACAAAATCCCAGAAACATCATATTTGTTTTTTTCATCTGATCATGCCTAAGTTGCTGCTGCTACAGCTGTGGATTATTTTTTTAAGTACAGAAAAATAAGCCAAACCCTGTTCATGATCTATCTCATATATAGCTGTAAGATTAATTTGTACTGCCAAACAAATAATTAAATTATACATGACCCCATTTCCTCTTACCTTCTTTGTCTTCTAACTTATACAAGAATTTATCTTAATTTAATATGAAAGATATTCATTTCTCCGTTTTATCAAAACAATATCTTATGTGGTTGGAAATTGGAAAACCTAAGATCTAGTGTTGTGAGACCAAGTCAACAGAAAATTTTAGTAACTATTTTCCTTAAGGGATGGTGGCCAACAGCGAAGAAGAGATTCAATACAACCAAAGATATAATTTTTCAAAAAATTTTAAATTAAAGATATAATCCTTTTTTCTTTACTAATTAAGGTTACTATTTTTTTAAAAAAAATTAATTAAGAATATAATTTTTGTGATTTTATTAAAAATTGATTAAGTGAATGTGTACATACAATTATATCCTTAATTAAGAATTTTTGAAATATAGTAATTTTAATTAGTAAAATCGCAAAATTATATCTTTAATTGATAAATTTAAAAGGTAATAATTCTCATTAATAAAGAAGAAAAGTTATATTTTTAATTAGAAAATTTTTTAAAAAAATTATGTTAGATTTGTAGGAAATCTCAGTAAAAGGAACAGGTGGTTTTGTAACTTGCCCCACCAAGTGGTTAGTGACAACAGTCGAGGACTTCGAAGTTCGAATAGCAAAAGGCAATTTTTTTTATTTTTTATTTAAGAATACAAGAGGTATTTTAATTTTTCTTTAAATTTAATACTATCATATAATTGGCCTCTAATAATTAGCTATTTTTATGGTAGTGGTGACACCATGTCATCAACCATGGTAAGCACCAGTCCATAACCTCACAATAATGAGCTAACGTGGATATGGCCCAGCCAGGTTAGATGCCTGAGTGAACACAAATCATCAGGATTACAAAAGATCATCACCTTTGCGCCCACATACTGAATTTGGCATCAGCTGTGATACTACTCATAGAAAGACA